AAGGCGATTAGGCCATTAGGCGGCCGCACAATGGGCGGAGCAGTCGTAGTGGGGTGGGGTAAGAAAGCAGGTTCAGCGTTGGATGAACAACTTTATTGTGGGTTTGCATTTTTGTGCGCTTGGTTCATGCACCCAGTAGATCCTTCTCCTTCTCTGAACTTGGGCAAAATGCTCGTCCTCTCCCTCGCCTTAGGTGGTCATTACCAATATGTTCCCACCCTCTCCCTATGTAATCAGATCCAAATATACCAAACATATGCCACTGATTTAGGGAGTGGTGTGGACACGAGAGACGCTGTTCGACTATCTACTTGATCCGAAGAAGTACATTCCGGGTACAAAAATGGTATTCGCTGGTATCAAGAAACCCGGTGAACGTGCTGATCTCATCAAATACATAGAAGTCGAAGGTGCCAAGAAACCATCTTAAATGTTAATGAAAATAAAGCTACACGAACCCTTAGCACTTTTCAAAACACTTTCAACATGAAGTGAATGTGGTGGTCTGAATTTCATTGGCTGCAAAGGTTCCAGCTTTATACATCCATGCCATTCAAGAAAGAAGCTTCACCCACCCATGGCCAGCGGTGATCCAACTATTCGAATGGGGAAAGGAGGTCGTATTTGCGATTGGAAGGGAGTTGTATGGAGACCCCCAAGACTGAGTACCGAGGTCCCCTGATAGTGTGGAGGGGGGATGATTGTGAAAAGTTATGAAAAGCTTGAATGCGATGGACAGTTTATCCTGCTTCCAGCTAGTCCCAGAGATCAAAGCCAAATGCTTCGAAGTAAGCGTTGATTGCTGCAAAACTAGTTGGGTGGGACATATCCAATTCATGGCCCACGGTAAGCGTTAAGGAATCTTCCACGAAAAATTAGTGAGATTACGAATCCGATACGACCCACAAACCGAATCACTGTGACTGTTGCCGCGGCCGATGTCCACGTGTCAATCGTTGCTTGTTTCGACGTTTCCTTTTATCGTTTTTCCGCGTACTCTACGGCGGCAAAATGGACGGTATAGAACCTGTCAATAATACGGAGCGTCTGGGCTGTATACATGTGGAAGTAGCAGGCAGTCGAACGTGCCGGCGAGGGGTCCGGCAGCACCCTGGGGCTTGCTTCCCTCGCCCTCGCTCAGTCCATCGCTCGCCGCGGAAGCGGCGACGCTGCGTGTACCCTGGATGTGGTTGCCCAAGCGGTTTGCATTTGGTTTTTGTGCTTGCGAGCCATTTATATCCCGCCCAAATCGCTGGATACCGTGCACGTGGGGGTACCATCAGCGGTATGAGTTGTGCCTCCAGTGCCCAACCCGGAATAGGTAAGCGGTCACTTCATCGGACCCTAAAACCGACTTGTCCACAAAAGAGTATCATTTGACTTGTTTTACGATTATTAGTATACGATAACTAACGCCTTACATTCCGGTTCTTTTAACTATCTTATGAGCTAGGGCCTAAGGAATCGTTTTCTATGAAAATGAGCGGGACTTTTTCATGTGACAGATTCCTTATGAGCCACGAAACGACAAACCAGAAAAGGCGGTGTCCGTGCAGCGCGGAGCCTATCCCTACTAAGCATCTCAAAATAATAGCGCGTCCGAACTCGCGACTTCGAATGATTTCACCTAACTAGTTCTACATCCATTACCATGTTACCGGAAGCACCCGACTTCATATTGCCTCCCGCATCACTACTACTTCACAAAAAATTGAACACCCCTAAAAGAGTCCTGATTACATGACCGTGTTCTGAGGTGATTGCAAATCAGTCACCTTCGGCAGCTAAGAACAGGACTTCAACAAGAAAACATTGCTTCAAGGGAAAGCCAGGAATTACGTTTTGTTGTTTATTTCGTTGTGTAAAAATCTCATCAAAAATGCCCGCTCGTCGTCCTTTTTCCGTTCCATCAGGCTTACTTGTTGCAGAACAGTGACTGGAAGGTCAGTCAGTGCATCAGTCGGTGCCCCAAGGACCCAGGCTTTTCCAAGGAAACCCTGACTTCTCAAAGGAAAACCAGATTTTCCAAGGAAAAGCAGGAATTTCTTTGGGGAGCGTTTTCCTTCGAAGACCGCCGCCGCGCCCTCCGTGTCCGTAGGGTCTAATCGTAAGACCTACTACCATCTTCCCTTTATGAACAGGTGGTGCTCAGATTTCCTAAGGAATCTGTCTTGCAAATCACTAAGAAACTTCCCTGTAATTCAAGCCGAATGGGTCTTTGTGTGTGCGTTTGATCAGAAACTTTACCTAGGGTAGGGGTGGCGCGACGGCGTAGCTGGTGGTAGGTGAAACTGATATGCTGGTAAAGTCTGACAAGAGGCGTTGAAAATCAAGTGCCTCCAATTTCGTCTTGTTGTTAAGAGTTCACTGGTAACTCACCAGTTCCGGTAGCTTAGAGATGTCAGTGTTGTCCAAAAAAATGGAACCACCACCACTGGTTTTGAAGGTGACGTTCTTCCCTCGGCCAGCATGAAACCACATGTGACCATCGACCATTAGAAGTCGTGACCTGAAAAACGTTGAAAATGTGCTCCGCTTAACAATTATTTATTATCGAGCATTTTTATTTGTAGCTTTTAAAAACCCGTGCAAACAGAACTGTATTTAGTTAGAAAACGCTTTGTAGTGTTTTTTCGGCGAGTTGGCAGCAATTCAGTTATTTTCCCTGCTCTCGTGATTGTTGCTCACGAATAAACTTCATCATTTGACAGCAATTCTAGCTGCTCCGTACAGTTCTGTAATATCAAACTGGCTGATTGAATTGCTTGAAGTATATCAGTCTAAGAGTGGGCCAGGTATTTCACTTCTATTCAAAATAATTTTGAACCGGATGGTATTTTTGAATTGGATGCTATTTGACCGTCTCTGTGAACTGTGAAATTTGCCTTTGTTCACGTCAACGTACTTCTCCTGAAATGAAGGCGCTAATCTAGTAAAATTAAGGATCTGAGTGGCCCGAACGAGATCCGGCCCTCATTTGATGCACATGTTGTCGGCTCTTCTTTGTGGGAGCTAAACTAGATGAAACCCTGCAACCCACCTTTCTAGCCCACCTCTTCCCTTCCCAGCCCATCAACAAAGTACAAAAATGAGGGACGAAAATACTCACGTAAGCCATAACAGGAAGGATAAGAATTTTAGCTTGGATACTATCCATCAGGGTAGAGGTGGCGTGGTAGCAAGTGAAGTTACTCACCACGCACACGGTCAATGGGTCAAATCCTAGATCGAATCGTGTCCAGGCAAATGAGCCTTATTTCTGCTGGATAAACTGATGGTGCCAGACTTGCGGGGGGGGGGGAAAAATTACCTCGCAAATGGGCTGATTTAGAAGGCACTCATCGCAGAAGCTGTTATCAAAAACTGCAAAGATTTGAACTTTTTCATCCGGGTCCAAATACAACACTATTACCATTAGAAGGCTCTACAATTGATTTTTAACATAAAATTTATGGTTCATTTCAGGCAGGACGTAATTGGTTAGTGCCATGTCGCGCTGCTTACCACGTTCGTGGTCGGTATATCAAATTCTGAATCGCACACCGTCCAGGCCAGCCAGGCCTCCCGGCCCTATCGTTCACAAACGATTTCATGTCTGTTTGGGAGGGTAAAAAACCTCCAACGTGACATCGCCTAGTCCACAATGGTCCACATATCATTGTATAGGTCATATCGATTCGCATTATCCATAGATTATGAGTAGAAGTGGAATGCATGGCGTATCAAAATGGATTGACTAAGGTCGAAAGCTATACTCTTCAGCTTTGAGCAGGCAATATTGGTTACCCGTCCAATGTTAAAGCATGAAATAGTCTGATCGCAACTGAAGGTGAGAATGTGAAGACATATTACCTGGGCTCATTATCGTCATAGATTTCTATATCAGAAAAATCGTCGGTTGTCGAAGCCGGGTGCCACGGCATGATCCACAAGAAGAACATCAAGAACCGGTACGAGCCCATTTGTGAAGAGTGGATCCTACGAAAAGCTATGGTTATTGGCAATAATAGCGCAGAAACAACAGCCATTCATTAAATATGTTCAGATTCAAGCAAAACCCAAAACTGCTTGGAATCATTTTCCACGATCGGCTGGGTGGAACAGTGAGGAAGATTGGTTCCCGAGCACAGACTGTGCTGATTTCGCGATGTAAAAGTGACTGGCAAAGGAACTAACTACAAGAGCCATTTTGTTGGCTTGCGATAGTTCAGTAAGGCCCAAATCGGCTTTCAAGTAATAACGGCTAGGTTTCAAGCAAGCTTCATTATTATTGTTTAAGGACTCATTTTTCAAAAAAGAGCACAAAATCCAAACAATCAATTCTGGCTTCGAACAGAACAAATCCTAGATCTTCTTTAAGGCGAATTCCGAGTTTTAGCGGCCTTGCTGACGGCTTCTTTTCGTGGATTTCACTACTGGAGTTACACTTTTTATTCACTGTCATTTTGAAGCGAAATGACCCACGACTTTGATCCCGGCCTTGCCTTTAATGCCAATTGATACCCAATCCGTTTCTGACTGCAAAATCTCGCACCAGTCCTTCGACATAAGAATCAGTAATGAAGTTAAGTTAGCTGATCAGTGAGTTCGATGATGCAAAGTATGCTATCTTTATTTTATATTTGCGGTAACGTTTGTGTGGCGTTTGTATGTCTGATAGTGTGTGCGTATGTATGTATGTATGTATGTATGTATGTATGTGTGTCCGTCCGCAAAATGAAGTGGTAGGGAAACTCGTGAAGTAAACAGACCGTTAACAAAATCGAGTAACTATGACTTTAGCAATCAATGTTTTGCAGTGCTATCAATGTGATAACACCCCAACGGCTATATAAACACCTACTGAGCATGGTCTCATTCATTCCACATGATGCTGCAATAGCAGCTGGAGAGCAGTAGAGGGAATAGGATAAGATGGAGAAGGGCGAGGGGAGCTAACCGCCAAAAGACCTGAGGTCCAATTAATATCATTCTAAGGTCATGTCACGATTACGTAATGTATGCTTCGTATAGCATATGGTGCATGCGTGCACCTCCCGAGTGTGTCATGTACAGTGGATGAGCACATGGAAGAGTAAAGCTTACGAGGTAAGGACGGTTCGGTGGGTAGCGGGGGACGCAAAGCTGGGTCAGTAAAAGCAATAATGATATAAAGCGCGGATGATGATGATTGATGTCGGGTCATCAGTACGAATGGCCTAACTCTGACGGTGTCGCGTCGCGCCTAATAGGAATATTGATCCGGGCTATTTCTATAAACGCAAATTGATATCAATAAATACTGTCAGGTTGTTCTCTTAACAAAAAAAAAACACTACATGATTGAGGTTCGAGTTTGCTTCGGGTATATTCCAAAAGTAGACCACAAAGATGTTCAAGTCGTTTTTGGTATGATTAGAACTAACGATAACTTTCAGATGAGTACTTGAG